CCAGGCTGTCACCTTGAGAGATAAAACACAGTATTTTTTCAAACTGCAGAATTGGCTCCCAATGGCTTTGAATTTGGCTGACTCTTGCCATTCTTGTGCTGTATCATTCTCAGACGCTTATTTACTATGTGGACTCCGCTAAGGAGGGCTTGAGGCATCTTCCCAAGGTCTGCTTTCAATAAAGGAGTTGTCAGCCAGCCACAAAGCACTTGAAAAGCCTCAGATGTTTTGGGGTTTTTTTTATGGTCATTTTAAGTTGCTGCTTTATTTCCACCTGGTGATTGAGACATGCGTAAGCCAGCCATCTGGATTGACAGTTGGAACATTCCTTATGGCTGTTTCTGATGAGTAGATCTGTTTATACAAGATTCCTGTGTACTGCTAATGGGACAAATGTCAATGTACACATTACCTTTTGATAAAGCACCTTGGTTTTCAGCTGTCTCAATTACTGATAATGTTTAAACGTGTCTGGAGTTTGAACGCAGAGGCTTAACCAAATGTTCTGGACTTTCAGGTCAAAGAAAATAATATTGTGTATGAATTGGACTTTTCTAAAGTCTACTGGAACCCACGTCTTTCCACAGAACACGGCCGTATCATTGAGCTTTTAAAGCCCGGTGATGTCCTTTTCGATGTCTTTGCTGGGATTGGACCTTTTGCTATTCCAGCAGCAAAAAAAAAGTGCCACGTATTCGCAAACGATCTCAATCCTGAATCCTACAACTGGCTCCTGCACAACTGCAGACTAAACAAAGTAGACAACAAAATAAAAGCGTTCAATATGGATGGCAGGGACTTCCTCCTGGGGCCAGTAAGGGAAGAACTAAGTAAAGAGCTCCCGCTTCTGCAAGAAGAACAGAAAACCTCTTTTCATATAGTCATGAATTTGCCGGCTTTGGCTATTGAATTTCTAGGTGTTTTCAGGCATCTCTTGGTCGGGGAGCCATGCAGCGCTGCTGGCCTTCCCACTGTGCACTGCTACGGTTTCTCCAAACATGACAACCCCACCAAAGATATTCAAGAACGAGCTGAAGCTTCGCTGGGAACCTCCTTGGATGGACGCTGTTCTACTTACCTGGTTAGAAACGTTGCACCGAACAAGGAGATGCTGTGCATTAGTTTCCAGGTTCCAGCGGACGTGCTGTACAAGAGGCCCTGCCCTGGTGAAGGTAAGGAACGAGCCTCCTACGCGGCACTTGGATTTCAGGCTACACCTTTCGCTGTCTCAGGCTGGTCCCGCCTTGTCAGCCCTGTGGGCCACTTCAGCTGTGTGAGGGCGATGCTGTCCTCCGGTGTGAGCGCGGAGGTGGCCGGCAGGACTGAGCGCCTGCACGTGTGCAGCAGCTGGAGGGCTTCGTGCAGCGGTCCGCTCCTCTGATCCCAGCGCCAGCCTCCACAGGAAAAATGGTGGACTGGGGAGGACCGTCCCGCAGGCCGTAAACCAGACCTTAACGCCTTAGATTGCGTACTGGGGGAGGAGGGGGTATCTAACGCCACGCACACGTTTCTGTTAGCTGAATACTTAAGATCTGGAGCTTCATTTCCACCAGGGTGGAATGGCATACTTCCAAGGGACTGGTCCCAGTTCTGACCTTCTCCCTTACACTTGCATGGACTCAGTTTAGGTCTGGAGTCACCGCATCAGCAGAATCCAGTTCTGTACAATTTAATTGAGAAATAGGTATCTGTAGAGATCTTTAAAGTTGAATTTGATTTTTTTTTTTTGTACAATTGGTCATTTGCGTCTTGAAGTACTTGTAGACGCTAGTTGGTTTCAGTGATCTTGGGCTGTGCCCTACATGACAAGGGGGGAGGGAGGGGAGGCTTTCGGTCTGCAGTTACATGAACTGGAGGAAGGGAGTTTTGATAAAGCTTTAACACCATGAAACTTATTTTTACGCCGTTGTTGGGTAGCACCGGGATACAGGTCAAAATGCAGCTCCATACAGTTTTTTTGAAAGTCCTTTTTGGCATTTAGTAAAGACCCCCCATTATTGCTGTAACAGTTTTCATTTGTGACTGTTAATCCCGATTTTAACTCTCATCTCTTCCTGTTAAATCCCTTAAGCGTTAATGGCTTGTGGTTTAGTTCAGTCTGTTTACTGTACAGTAAATAACTCACTTCTTCCAACCTTCTTCCAGCAAACCCAGCCTCTAAACGTCTGTGTACCAGCAAAGATTTTTCTGAAGAAAAGTTACTGAGTTGAAGACTGGAGATACGGTAACTACCTTAGTAGGTTGCCTAAGGCGTACTTAGGTTACCTCTGGTTTGCCCCTTGAATTATTTGAAGCGTACCCGTGTTACCCATCTCGGGTGCCGAGATGCGTAATGCATGTTGCAGCTTTCCTCTGTGAGCCTTGCCTCCTGCATTTACCTCTTTTTTTAAATTGTGGGATCAATAAGGAGATCTAAATTGTCATTACTATAAAAAAAATAAAACTTCGCTTTTTTGTAATAAATGTGTTTTGGTGCTTTTCTGCTTTCGTTTCACACCCCGTGATAGTTCAGTGACACAGGCTGGGATGGTTTTCTGCTGTGTCACTTTGATAACGTGCGGTTTGTGGGGAAAACAGGCTTTTATATTTTGCCGGGTCTAGGAAGATGACTTGTATAAGCCTTGCATTGGATTCTCAATTGGATTGTCAAAACCATTGACAAATGGTTTTGGTGTTTAAGAATATTGGATTACTGTTAGCAGATGCACAAACAGCTCTTGTGTAAGCAAGATAACCTTTCAAAAACTTAACCCAAGATACAAAAAGGCCCAAATAGCCACATATACTCGTTCCTAGGCTTTTGAGTACTAAATGCTTTTTAACACTGAGATTTAGTTAGGGATTAGCTGACTCCTAACGTAGTGTTTGCCCACCGTTAAAGCAGGAAGGACTCTAATGCCGTTCGCGCAGTTGCAGATTAAGTACACGCTTGCGTTAAAGCACGAGACTGAAAACCAGTACCTGGCTGACCAGTCCTCTCGTCTTGAAACCGCGTCCTCCTGGGGCTTTTGCGCCTCTGCCGTCTCCCAGCTCTCCCCCTACCTCTCCGACCGCTCCCCTGCTGCAGTCCCTGGACGATCTCTCTGACTGGCTGCCTGTATTCTGCAGGGCTTTGAAAAGCCTCTGCCTTGTGATTTCCTCTTCTTACCCATCCGAACTATTGCTGGGCAACGTCAACCACAAATAGTTCCTTTGGACAGAGGAACTCCGATCGCCCTCTTGGTTTCAGATATTTTCCTTCAGTCCCAGCTCAGCGCTCATGCCTAGCAACTCGGTTCCAGATGTCCGTCGGCCTCCCTGGCTCTGCTGCTGTGGCTCCATCACTGGGGCCTGTAACCTGATGTCTTGGTTCTCACCCAAACAACCGCTAAGGCCCAGAGATTTGTTTTGCTCAGTGGCTCTATGTTACAGCCTTTCCCTTGGTGACACGGCCGGTGCTTTTGAGCAAGCCTTCACAGCTTGGTTACCGCTAGATTGCATTTATCAAACCAGGGGAAAAAAAAAATGATCATGACTCACTGGCGCTATCGCGAAAGCTGCTGTACAGATTACTTCCCTGGCCTGCCGCTCCAGCCCGAGTATTCCTCCACCGGCCTTTGAAATGGTATCGCAACAGCTTTAACCTGTTTGTCCTCGCTGTCAATGACAGGCACATCGCATCCTCTCCCTACCGGTCACTGCTCCTCTAAGAGCAAGCGCTGGACTCTCGCCTCCAGCCTGCGATGCTATCCCTGCTGTCTGTTACGCTTTCTAACACCGCCGCGTGCTTTCCTACCGCTGCCCCGTGGGTTTCCCATAAACATCTGAAAGCTGCTCTTATTTTCCAGAGCCCTCCATAAATGCTGTAGCGATAAGGCCCTCGACCATTCTGGAATGATCTACGCTAACGCGCCTGCCTGTACTGCCGGAGACCGCCGGTCCCTTTGACTGTGTGCATTGCCTCACAGTCCACATTTAGGGCTTCTCGGCACTACTGCACTACCGGCAACCTGGCTTTGATCACCGGTTTGGTGTTAAGCAAGTCAACTACGTAACTGATTTTCAGCACGTGACTAAAGTATCCCGGGGCAGGGAAGGATTTTAATTCTTAGAAGTTTTGGTCACTTAAGGACTAAATGCCATTGTTATTTTAGCAGCATAACTTTAGTTTAGAGGCAAGTCAATGGATTATATGTAGCTACACTCGTAACCAGGGGTTTTTCCGTATTTCTGTGCAGTTGCCACTTGTGCGTATAACCCTTCCACAGGAAATAGCAAACGACAGCCAACATACACACAAGTTGCGTGAGTGTATTTAAATGATGCATATTAAAATGCATACGCAGTTCTGCATTCATTAGGGCAATGACCTGAGGCTTTACAAACGGAATATAAAGCAGATCATCGGTGAGGTATATTTTTACCAGTCCGGGTGAGCCCGGAATAGTACAGACTCCCCCTGGCTGCTGCTACTCCCTCCCAGGGTCCCGAGCTGAATCCCAGAAGGACTGCTGCTATCTTCTTTGTCCTGGAAACGGGAGACAGGCTGTCGGGCATCTGTGACAGAGGGAATGAACTCCCACAGCTTCTGGCTGCTAGGAAAACAACCGGCTAGGCCCAGCGGTGGTGGCAGCCATCTACCACGAGCGAGGGAATGGATAAATAAAGGGCATGTCAACTTTCAGGCCTTACAGCGGAGAGGAAAGGAGGAAGGGCCGCAGGCAGAAAGCAGCACTCGTCTCGACTGCAACACAAGTGCAGTCGTATGAGTGGTGTCTCAACGTGCACCGCACAGCTGAGTCCTGCAACGCCCAGCCACGGGCTTTCTGTCTGAGGCCAGGCCACCTGCCCCTGCGGCAGGGAGCACTACGCCGCAGGCTACGACCTTTCCTACACCTCCGCCTTGCGTGCAACGTTACCTGTCTGTCGGCAACTCTTCTGGATTTCAGAGAAAGGGCAATGGAAATTTTGGCGCCTCCCTTCACTTTCCTTAATAAAGGAAGCACCAAGTCTGAAATACAGCTTATTCTTCTCTTTATTACAACATCGAAAAAGTACATTTGTTTAGTACACTCCTCAGAGCAGTATTCAACAGCTATTAACAGATGACCCATAAAACATGGTCCAGGCTTTGCTCTGGAGGCGCTCGCTGTCCTGAGCGGTTTCCCATCCCCTGCAGTTCACACACACTCAGGGCAGAGACCAATCCCGCCACAGGAAGCCCATCTCTGCTGCAATTCATCTACGTTCCACTACAAGGAGAGGGGAAGGAATACATAAAAGCAGCAGATCAAGTGGCAAGGGTCATCCCAAAAGCCAGACAAAGGGATGTTCCTGCCAAAAGAAGCTCCTGAACACGTGACAGAAAAGTTGCAAAACGGAGCTAAACAGGAAAAAAACAAAACCAATTTTGACTACTTTAATGACCTAGCCTTGTATCGAGGCTTCTTAGATTGCTTCTAGAGGAGCTCAGTTGAAAGACTTTCAGCTAAAGATTTGTTTTTCCAGACAAAGGTAAGAACCAAGTGACATCAGGAAGGATCCCGCATAAGAGTCGTGTCGGCATGGTTCCGGGGTTTCTCGTCTCATCCAGCTGGCAGGAGGAAAAACCCACTTGTCTGAACTGGGGAAACTAGTTTTATGGGAAGAAAACGTAGGCTTGAATATTGACACTAAATGTTATAATCAAAATGGCATTTAAATGCTTGTGCAAATAAAACCCTGCAATAAGAGTAAAACCACAAACTTTAATAAAAAAGTCTGGCTTTATTTAAAAAAAATTTACAAGTGTATTTCTTTAAACCTCAAACATACACAGCTGAGTTATTCACATCTTCCATTAGATGTGGCTTATTGCTTCAGCCTCCCTCAGCAAAGTGCCACATGACTAATGAGTTTCCCCCTCCACAAAAATGTATCTACCATTTTACAAAGCTCTCGTGCAGACGGGGGTTTTTTTTCCCCCTTTAACACTTAAACACAGCTGGTTTGACACAGAAAAGTGACTGCAGCTTAGCCGTTGTGCAGATGGCAGCAATTTTACCCAACCTTTGCTGGCTTGATTTGCTTCTTGCTCCGTTCGGTGTCCCTTGATCACAGGCTGATGCACACTGGCTAACTGGGGTGCCAGAAAAGACCACTGAAAGCATCCTGTAAGGCTCGGTGACAAGCAAGAGAAGAAGTGTAGCCCCCAGCAAGATCCTGCGGAGAGGCGGCTCGTACGTGGTTGAGATACCTAAAACAAAGAGAAGCATTATTTTAGAGCAGATCATCAAACACCTGCGTAGTTCAGAGTACGGTGAGGTCGAAGCTACTTTTTGGGAGAAAGCAAGGAGATGGAGGTGCCTACTGCTAGCCACCTATGAACGTCTCGGTATAAAACCCCCGTTAGTAAAAACAATGACGACGCTGATGCACCTTCAGCCAAGCCGCCCAACCGGCGCACCGAAAAAACTTGGATCTTTGCAATAGGTTGCACAGGGTTAAGTACACTCACTGGTTTGTATTTTCCGTGCTCGCTCTGGGGGAAGGGTTGCATTTTCCCTCCTTTGATAGTTCCTTCTAAGACGATGACGACGACAACACAAGCTTTCCTGCACTCCCACAGGAGTCGGAGGGTTTCAGCTCTGTCCAGTTAATGCTGGGCGCTCCCAAGAGCCGACTGTGCCGGTTGCTCTGATGACAACAGGGCTGCATTTTCTGCTCTCGGGCCTACCTGTATCTGGAGTAAGTCCACTGACACGAGGGAATTAGATCTGCAGGAAGCTGTCGTCAACATTTTGGCTAAAGAAGCCTCTAAACTTCACCGTTAATTAAGCATCATCACCCATTTGCAGAGCCACCTAATTTTACACCAAACCAGCCAGACCGATGAGTTGACATTGAAATGCGCTTACCTACGCTGGCACAGCCGCAAGCTCTTGGCTCCCCTTAGCTCCTTCTGAGGGCTCCAACCCAGCCGTGCACGCCAAGAGCTCCCATTAAAGGTGTCTGCTCCGTGGGGCTTGAATGGTTTCATTCAATGCTGTGTAACCCTATAGTTCTTGCACCCCACATAAAACAGATACGAGACCGGATTCTCAGCTAGTTTTGCACCCAAACCCCACCAAATACAAAGACAGACACGGGCTGTAGCCTTGCACGATCAGCACAACGACCGTCTCAAATTCTGAACACCAGATAAAATACCGTAAATGAGAACTGCTTTGCACAGTTGCCCTGTAAGCCACTGAGCTTCAGCTAGCTGTTTTGATTCATCACTTGGTACATGTTGCTCCTGGGAAGGTTGAGTCATTCCACCCCTGGCTTGGCAATTCAAGCATAAACTTGCAAAATGCATACAGCCTTTTATAATGTTATCCCGAGAAACCTAAAACAGCTGCACTTTTGGCAGGAAAATACAGGACCACCAGTAAAATATCCAAAACAGTTGCATCTTTTAATTTATGACTGTACACTGTTTCCATAAAGAGTATATAAAACAGGTCAGATTTTATAGGTAAGACATAATAAACAGTCATACCCATTGATGCCATAAATGTGTAGAAAAAGAGGTTACTTAGAAATTAATTACAGTTTTAAAACTGTATTTCTTGCACCTTATAACCACAATGCACAGACATGAGCAACACTTCTGGGTGATTGCTGGTGAGATACTAAAGTTAAGGGACTGAATTTGCCTCCTGTGGCTGAGTTGAGGTGAGCTCTGCCGCTTTGTTCAACTTGTGATGGAGTCCGCTCCTCGCTGCTGGACACCGGTTCTCATCAGCACGGGCACAGACAGCAGGGCACAAACCCTTTCAATAGTGTTTAGTCCAAAGGGAATCTACAAACACAGCAGCAAAGCTGGTCCCGTCTCTTAATTTGCAAGGGAAGACGGTCTGCAGAGCGCTCCTGTTTTGTGGGAGAATGCACTTAATAGATTTTTAATTTTATTTTTTTTTTAAACATTCTTGTTACTTGTCCTTTAATATTTTAGGAGGAAAATCTCGTCCTTCCCAAAGGCCTTTTACAACTGCCATGGGAGGCAGGAGCTCCTTCCCCCCACCAGGAATGATGAAGCGATACTGACAACGACAAATAATTTCCTTCAAAACGCTGCTGTGAAACTACCTCCACCCTCCAAACCAGAGAGTCTTATAAAAATCAATTCCCACCTCAGATTTTACTTCTATCATATTTATTTCATTGCACAAACTTCATTTTCCACTCATGCATGGAACAGTCCGGAGGAAACGGGGTTATTTTACATTCCTATATTAACAAAGGTTGGTTGTGCGGTTTTCATTACTTATCTTTCGTTACTTTTCTTGTATCACTAAAGGAGAGAGGAAGAGTCTATTGTTTCCCTTTTTTTAGGTCATCTGAAATGGGGGCATCAGTTTCATACGAAGGCCTGATTTACAGCCATTACAGCATTTATAGTTAATTGGTATGCGATCTCTGAAGCAGCACAAAATCATTGCCAAAAAGGCCCAGATCAACTTTTACTACGGCGACCTGCATTAATTCTCCTTACTCCTGTGAAACAAGCACGACACGCTGCCGGCTGTCAAGCGAGGTCTTTAGTTTCTTGTTAAGTATCTAAACTTACTGCTCTTGACCCATTTAATTACTGTGGTGCACCAGGCAATCGCAAAGAATCTGCCACGCTGAAGCCACGCAATGAGAAGCGAATGTTGCGCCGGCTTTTCCGCACCGATCCCTGTCTTTGCTGCCTGAATCCAGCCGTGCCCTTCACCGGAATATCTCTCTGAACTGGATTCCTGGGGTTTCTGGCAGAGGTCAGCACATCTTTTCATGTACACCTTTACAACAGCAGCAGGAAGAAGCGCTTGCCAAGTCTTATTTCCAAAAAGTCAAGCTCCGTTAGGTCTTGGGACCTGGAGGTAATTGCTCTCACTAGTTAGCAAATTCCAGCACACTAGGTCTGTTTTTCATAGGTTTATTTTAAGTACCTGTAAATCTTATAAGCAGAAACCAGGAAAAAGAGGTTTGCTTTTTCTGGTGCACAGTTTTTTAATGTAACTTGTTTTTACTGAGAGCAGACTAAACTCTGAAGTTAAAAAAAGCCTGCACTATTATTTTTGAGCAGGGCTAAAGGGCTGTGTGTTCTCTGCCCCATGGTTTCACGCTTCCCGTTCACCATAATGCCTACACTCTGCTTCAGGCTCTGCCCAAACAAGCCCCCTTTCCTTCGTTGCAGCCATTGGATGTTGATCTTCCCCATTAACCTTTCACGTCAGTTAAAACACATCGTATTTTGTTCTTCATGAGCCTTAAGGGGACTCATTCCTGACCTTTAGTTTCTCATCACCACGTGAAGGGGGAAAAAAAAAAAAAGCCTCCTGTTTTCAAGGAAAGAGGTGTAATTCACACTTGGTGCAGAGGCTCAGAATCAAGCTGGTCATTCCTGGGGGTGGGTTTCCTTCGTGTTTTCTCTTTCCGAAGGCCATGTCACCATCACTTCATCAGGAACGACTGGGACCGCTGGAGAACTACGCAGTGATGCTCAGCGTGGCAGCGGGTGCGATGCCCCGTGCCTTGCCACCTGCTGCCCAGGCAGCCTCAGCACCTCTTGGCATTGCCGTTTCTGAGAGCCAGAGGACCCAACACCAGCTCGTCAGGCGGTAACACCCGAGACCACCGGCAAACGTCCCTTCACTGCTCGACAGGGTGGTCTCGTTTCAGAGAAATTCAGGAAAGACTTCAGAAACAATCAGAGAGGATGGAGAAACAGCACAATCAAACAAGCAAACCAGGCTAAAAAAATCAAAACCTGAAAAAAAACCAAAAAACAAACAAACCAAAACACCAAAACATCCAACCAACAAGCCAAAAACACCCCACAGCACTTCCCTCCACCCACCCAACTGAAAGTATCAGTGCTTGGGATTATTTCAAACAATCTTCCCCCATCTACCCAAGATAAATACACTCCCACTGGTGTTTCTGCAGACGCATCATTGGAGGTACATGTGGAGTACTCTGCATTTGGCATACAGATTTTACTTTTTTTGATCTATTAGGTATTTTATGGGGGTGAAGAAAAGAAAAATCACTCACAAGTTGTTTGACCAAAAAAAAGATAATGTAGTTCTATTCCACAGAATAGATTTACTGCTCATGTGATTATCCGCAGTATCCAAGACAGAAAGTAATGGGGCAGACATTAGATCTGGGAAATTTTCCAGATTCATCATTTAAATAATAAATAGTGGCTGCATGAAAGCAAGCAAAATACTCTGGTTTGGAAAACTGTGTAAAGCATTAGTAATGCAGTAGCATACGCTGCATTCCTGAACCTTTCTGGAGACAATATTTTCATTAGATTTATCAAGTCTCTAAGATGAGCTATCGCTGCGTTATTCAGAGTATCCTTGCAGAGACTGGGTCTTATCAGATGAGAGATGCACATAAGAAACCGGATTTTCTCTGGCCTGTTTTTCGTTGAGGAATGCGTGGCCTGGGTTACTCTATAGCCCCTGAGCAGGTAAAAAACGAGCTCCTCCGCTCAACTCCGGTTTTGTTTGAACCAGTTCTAGCACACAGTCAGTTCATGCAGCCAAAGCAGAATTTGTTTATAAAGTGAGCCAAGTTCATTGCTGTTCTTCATTAAATAGCCCTGGGAAATTCATTTGGGAACAGGCCTTCGCTAGGTGTTATTCAAATATGGTGTGGCTCTCCCTGTCTCGGAGACTGTAATGTCTATGGTAGGACAAAAACACAACATAAAGCTGATACTCAAAGAAGTCCAGAACAGCAACTGATCCTTCCACAGACTAGCTACAAGCCTGATCCCAGGTCCTCAAAAGTCAAAAAGCAGTCTTTCATCTATTTTAGCAGACACTCTTTGGGCACTATCGTTGTATTTCGATCTTAACAAACCAACCAGCTATTACTGGTGTCAGAAAGTCCTGAAACTGACCCCCAGCCAGCACAGCCTGTTCCAACATTTAATGCAACTTCTACACAACCATGAACTCAGCAAAGGCTCCTCACGAGTCCAACTCAGTACCTCCCGCGAGCCTTGCACCATGGCCAAGGTCACGCTTCCAGCCCTGATGGCAGCGAGGCACCTACCATCAGCCGCTCTTCTCCTCCACCCTCCAGGACAACAAGGACTAAATGGGAAAAATCTATTTAACAGTTGAATGGGGAAAACTGTTACCTGGAAAGGAATAGGTCCATGGCTGCCTCAAGGAACCAAGACGTCATTTGGTTGATAAATACAGC